TCTTTCCCTGCACCCTTTTACTGACTCTGGATCTGTATTTACCCCATGTGATACCAAGGTTCTGTTATCCCAGATTTCATAGATGAGGACTCAGTAATTAAGAGTCTTGCCCATTAAAAGAATTTTATGGCAGAGAAGAGAGTCATACACACACAGTGCCTTGCTGGCAGGGTGTAATTTATAAACCCCCTGGTGTGGGGGCTGAAATTTCTTAACTCTCTCATCACGTTTCCTATTTTTGTTTTCTCTTCCAGACTAACAGCTAAAGCTGTTGCTGTTCTCTTGCCAATCTTGGGAAGCTCATGGATCTTTGGGATTTTGGCTGTCAATGCCCATGCATTAGTATTTCAGTATATATTTGCTGTTTTCAATTCATTACAAGTAAGTACCTGGTGAAAAAGTTTCTGGCTACTGAACTTCTCCTTAGATCCAGTAAGTGAACCATTACTAATGTTTTTACATGCTTGTGTTTAGTGGATTTTTGTTATGTTCCTTCCTCTGTCTTTTAAGTCTGTGCTGACCATACAGTGCTGGCAATTGTTTAGCCTCTCTATGAACAGAACTTTTTACTCACTCCATAATGTTTCCAGTAGCAATAATTAAATAAATGAGACAGTGAGCTTGAGCAGTGAAATTGATTCTTCCAGCACTGTGTGCCATAGGCAAGATTATTCAGAACAGTTTCTCAGATTGAGGCTTCATTACTGAGACTAAATGAAAGCAAACGGAAGTTTGTAGGACAGATGTGGCATAGGGAGAAGTGTGGAGCTATTCATGCTGCATGTGACCCTGGCATGCAGGCAACTAGACCTGCACCTTCTTAGTACACTGATAAAAAAAAAAATAGCTCTGTCCAAGAAGGAATGCAAGCATCTGCTTAGCTTTGAGCAGACATTTCAGTAGAGGCACAAATAGGTGTGATATATTTTTCTCCCCAGTAACGGTTACAAAGGGGAAGAAATAATGATCTCCTTGAAGATCTTTGTTGTCTCAGGAACAAACAGCACAAATAGGTCACCAAAAAGTGCATCAGAGTTCTCCCCATAGCTGATAAGAAAAGTTCCGATTTTCCTCCAAAATAAAACCCACAAACGTGGCTGAATATTCCCCAAAAGAAAGCAACATTTTTCTGGGAGTTAAATGGGATGGAACCTTTTGTTTTCCATTAGACAAAAATGCCAGATAGCAAAATTCTGTTGTGAAAATTTTCCTAATCCTAATACCTTTTCTGATGTGAAAAATATTGATCTTCTGATTCCGAAAGAGCATTTCCCTCTGCCTTTATCTTTTCAGGCATAGACAAAAAGTTCTCTTGTTTTCATGAAAACAGAACTTCTGCTTCTTTTCAGCCAGATTTCTACTTTAGTACTCCAAAGTTTAGGAGGTGCTGTTTTACAGAAAAAGGTCCAGATGAGCCTCATAGTAACCTAGTGCTACAGGTTTCTCCAGTTTAACATGGGGCACAGTTTGGCCAACTCTTCAGTATCTTTAGATCTCCAGCTACCCAATACCTGCTTTAGACAACACTGTGAGAAATGAATTAGTCTTTAATTCTTCACAATCACTCTTCAACCTTCTCCCTTTTATCTGTTTTCAGGGATTTTTCATGTTCCTGTTTCACTGTCTTCTGAATTCAGAGGTAAGTAACCAAATGGTGTTAATAGTTTGGTGTTACCAAAATCCAGTAACATAGATGCAAAACAAGAAAGACTTTCTCCAGTATTGTTGCCTGCTATGCCACTGATTTGTTTGTTCTTTAATACATGACTGTTAGTGACTTCATGGCTTGCAGCATTTTCACCCATGCTTGACATTTATTTTATTTAACATAAGAAAGGCTTTAGAAAAAAAGAAAATAAAAGAGACTAAGGAAAGACCCACTCCTGAGGGCTGGAGGGGATGAGCAGGGCATGGGCTGTGCTGCTAAGGGGGAGATGCTGAAACAGTGAGAGCAAGACTCTGGCAGTCCCTGCTGGGGGGGCCTCTGGCCTTGTGACATCTGCAGTTCCAGAGAGGAAAATAAATATTATTCTCAGCAGAAAACATTTTCAGACATTGCTCAGGCAATCCTCAATGGGAAACCAAACAGGGTGGAACATTTGGCAGGTATTTTTCTTGGCAGGAAGTTCAGGTTTTCATAGTGGACCAAAAGGCATCTTTTTTGCATTAAGGCCATCTCAGAGCAACTGGAGTAAAGCCAAGGCAAGGCTGATGTAAATGGCACTTGTGGTGCTGGGCCTGGAGCTTGCAGCATCCTCCCCTCCCATGGCAGATACCAGAAAATGCTCAGCAACAATTATTACTGATAACAGAATTTCTTATGCAAACCATTTCCAGCACACTGGCAGGCAGCACTGCTCAGTGAAGACCCATATAGCTTTGCTTCTCCCACAGCTCACTCTTCTGGGTGCTGCTGAGTAGCTCTGCCCATAGCCTGCTCCTTCTTCCTGTGCAACAATAGCACTTCCAGCTCTTCCGTGGACATGTTATTGTTTATTCATATTTGCCAGCGTTTTCACTTTTAGAGCCTTAATATGATCTTTGCTGCAATCAGTTTGGAGGCTCAGGAATGACCATGAAATTCTTGTTCTTTATTGAAAGAAACTAAAATTAAGCAGGCAGGTTTTAGGTAAGGAGGAAGCATATTTCTTTATTCTATTCACCCCTAGGTTCAGAAAGCTTTCTTCAAGGTGTCAAGCTTCAAGTGTCTTACATCAAATACATATATTTAAATTGCTGCTATTTTTCCAGGAACCTCATGAGAAACTAAATTCAGAAACCTTTCAGAATTGGTATATACTTAAAAACCAGTTCAGATATAACTAATGTGAACTGTCATTTTTTGAGAGCTGGTCTTAATGACTCCATCATATGCTGTGCATATCTAAAACACTTCTTCTGCTGCACCATGAGAACTCTTCTTGAGAATTTTGTTCTTACCATATAGAAGTAAAACTCAGATACCCTAAAGCAAAATCTGCAGGTACTTCCTACAGTGGTGGGGTAAAAAAGAGACCTTTATTCCCACTGTGACTGGACTAGAAATGCACACACAGTGTCAAAAAGAGGAGAATGGGTCTGACGGGGACTTGAGCAGCTTCTCCTACAGCACATGCCCAAGGTGCCAGTGTCATCCAAGCCCCTTGACCTCTCTCAGTGATTGGGCTCTGTACCTCACCAGCCTCACTATTGCCACTCCTGAATTGCAGTTGTCATCTTTCCTACTGCACTTTGAGCTTCTTATTTCCCGTTGCAGCTACTATATGTGTAAAGACTAGATAATCCCCTTCCTCTCTGCAGGAAAGAGAAGACTGTAAGACTTATCCTGTCTTCCCCCAGTCTCCTCTTTTGATTAAGCAACCCAGGCTTCTCATAATATGTGTTTGCTTGACCTGTGCTCATCCTCACTGCTCTCTTCAGGGCTGCCTCCAGCTGATCCCTGTTTTATCTGGGATGCTGGACCTAGCTGAGGCCATGCCAGTGTAGAAGAAGAGGCTCCTATGTGTGTTTTGCAGACTATGCTCCTCCTAATAAGCTGTTCTTTATCATAACAGTGGTCAATCACTACCAGCCAGATATCCTTGATGCCTAAAGAATGTCTGTCTCACCATCTTTTCTTTATGCAGTTGATTATTTTCACCTTGATGCAGAATTCTACTTATATAGGGAGTTTCATCCAGCATTTTAAAATAATTTCAGTTTTCAAAAGGCTGGAAACCAGCCTATGTGCTCGTGGCCTCTGGGTATCATCAGGGAGAGAGCCTGCCTGAATGTGGGAGTTTGTGGTCCAGCCTAAGGCTGTACATTGAGTTGGAAAATGTGAAAGTGTCCCAGTGAGCTGCTGAAAATCAGTATAACAGCACCCTATTAAATCTTTCAAGCCAGGATTGCAAATACTGGGGATGTATGTGCATATACCCTTTCACTTGGGTTTTTTCTTTTATTATTTTTTTATTTTTAACAAGATAAATGGTAATACAGTCATACCTAGGACAGGATAACCCAGATAACATGAAAATGTTGCCAATTAAATGAGACATAATCAAGGTTATATAATGCTTTGTATTTAAAGTATGAATACTTGAAAAGTAAAGCTCAATTGTAAAATAGGTCCATATATATAAAGAAAAATGTAGGGGTGGATTGCTTGTTGATTTTTAGTACAGTGATGTTAATGTGGAGGAAGGATAATGGGGAAATGATTGAAAGCTGCACCTGTGAAAAAAATACACAGCTTTCTCAAAAAAAATCTTCTACCTGGTTTCATTTTTTTCCCAAAGGTCAGAGCTGCCTTTAAGCACAAAACCAAAGTCTGGTCCCTTACCAGTAGTTCGACTCGCAACATCAATGTGAAACCCTTCAATTCAGACATTGTGAGTATCCCTCCTTTCATTTTTTTCCCCTATTATACTTGAAAGTGTTCCACAGTAAATTCTGTTGGAAAGGCACGTGGATGCCTTTCAGTAGCTACCCTAATGCATGGTGTAGACAGGTGGAATCAGCGAGTATTAAGTTGCAGCTACAATATTTGTTTGGAAAGTAAAGGCCAAAATTCTGCTTTCTGGTGAACTATCAAAAGAAAGTAAACAAAGTTTATGAACTCTGGAGTATGGTTCAACAAGACTATTCCCACCAGTTGTAATGGACTTGATGCATTCAAGCAGAATTGGCAATGTATTTGTCTGCTGATGATGGCTTTTTGATAGGGTTCTTTTACATTTAAGCCTGAGGAATAAACTCTTAAACAAGACAACAGGTGAATATGCTTTCCTAGCTTTCCTTAAATGTCTTGAGGCAAAGGACATTTATTTTTGTAAAGGACCAGACTTCTGAAGTGATAGGTGTTATTAAGTGATTGCTGCCAATCACCTTAGATCCTGGTGATGACTGAAAATCCTTTATGGCATTTGCTCTCAAGACTCTGTGACAACATTCTAATGTAAATAGATATTTTCAAGCTTTTATTTCACCCAGACAAGAGTGGTTTAGCAAAATAAATAAATCTATTTTCAATATGATTTTTTTTCCAGATGACTGGGAACAGGCCAGGCACAACCCCCACAAAGCTGAACACCTGGGATAAAAGCACCAATTCAGCCAACCGCGTTGATTTATCAGCGGTCTGACAGGAGCAGCAGCTTCTCAGTGAAAAATCAAGCCATACATTCAGGACCCCTGACACAATGTCCGCCAGGTTTTTTCTCACTCCTAATACCAGTAAAAAACTGCTTTTTAATCACTGCCTAGTAAATTGGAAATGGTCATATCGTTGAGTAAATAGCCCTCATCTGCTTGCCTTTGAAACTGTAACACATTCCAGCACTGGGCTATTAGCAATACCTGTACAAATAACTAGCACAAATATACACTGGATGGTTTTGTCAGCAATGATGAAAACATTAGGTATGCAAAAAGAGCTTATTGCTATCTGAATCATTCCAGCTCCCAGAACTGAGGAAGGGCAACATACCTCTAGAAAGATAGATTTTTATGCTCTAAAATGAAATGCTTCCCATTGTGATGGTGTAATGGGGCTATTCTGGTCTTGCTGTGCACGCTCTGTTTACATTTATTACCTAACAGAATCCAATTATCAAAGTGAAGCTTATTCAAAATACATAGTGTGCTGATTAATTTAAATGCTGAAGGAAGTCAGGACTTGAGGGAGAAGCAGATTCCAGCTACTCAGCTCTCAGTTTGGGCATGAAATTAGCAAAGCTAATGCACGTGTGTCTCTATGCTCATAAATAGCAGATGTAACATGCAATACTTGTATACGTGTCCTATTGTATTTTAGATATTCCTGTTTCCCTCATAACTATAAAAGGCAGAAATGGCTCAGGCTGTCCTACAGCAGGCCACAGCATTTCTGCTGACCTGATGCAATACACAGTATTTGTATTGCTTTGCCTGAGGCTTTTGGATGCAATCAACTGCCCATCAGCGCATTTTGCAAATGCTCTGTAGCTTTTGGAAATCAAATCCTGGCACTGTGACTTACCTTTCCTCTTTTGCTGGTCACACGGAGACATTGAATTCCAACCACAAAAATGTAACACAATGATATACTGTGAAGACAGCCAGACTACAAATAAGTCTACGTATTGTTACCTACAGGCATCTTTTAAGTAGGTCTCTGCAGAGTCTTTTGTGGTTTTAAACTCCCCTCAGCACTTAATAGCTTCTGCCTTAGTACTGTTACGAAGTATCTTTAAGGAAGATGAAACACTGTAATTTTTCTTTTGACCGGTGTTTTGTGGTTCTCCACAGTGATGTTTGGAGCACAAGGAGGTGCAATCTCAGCTGTGCCAGTGATGTAGCTTTCCAGCTGAGGGTAAAGCAGACCATGAGCCCCAGCAGTGGTCAGAGTCCCTAAATATGTGTCTTGCTTGGGATTTACTCAGCAGCCAGGGTCTCCAAAGCTATTTCCAAAGACAAGGCCACTCTTCACAGAGTGGCTTTGCAGCCATGTTGTCTTATCTCCAGCTCATCCTTGTTTGCAGTAGCTGGCTCCCTAACACACCAGGTATACTCGTTTGCAGGAATTCCCAAGGTAACTAGGTACCCTAATACACTGGGCTATCCAAATACTACAAAAGGCCTTCTGCCTCTTTTTTTTTTTTTTTTTTTTTTTTTTGGTTTTTTTTTCTTTTTTAAAGTTTTATTTTTTTCGCAGCTCACTACAAAAGGCCTTCTGCCTCTTTTTTTTTTTTTTTTTTTTCTTTTTGGATTTTTTTTCTTATTTAAAGGTTTATATCTTCAGCAGCTCAGACTACTTCAGGTCCTGGTAAATCTAGCAAGGTATCTGCTATTGATTTACAAAAGGTATTTACACCATTATGTGCAGAGTGGAGACTTGTAGGTATGGTCACCAGACTGAAACTGCAAGTCCACCCAAGTTTTTCTGTGGCTACATATGAAGTTATCTTTGACCAGATATGTGCTGGAACTGAGCAGAATGTGCCACACTGCATAGCACACATATACATGCATCAGTATTTAGGCTTCTAATCTTGTGTTTCCTATTACTAAATAACTCAAGTTGTTGACAGCTAACTCTGAAAGGTAGGTCAGTAAAAGCTAAATAGGTAAATGGCTATGTCTTTATTTTGGCTTTTTTGTATGGCTTTTTCCTAGCCTTTTCTACGCTGTTCTCTCTTGCAGCTGTGCAAATATATGGGGTTTTCTTGGCATGAGAGTGATTATATTTTCTCCCAAAAAGACACAGTAGAAGGAGCCCTAGGAATGTATGGAGGAGATTGTAACAGAATAGTACTGTGATACCAGAGTTCAGTGTTTGTATTATGTGCAGACAGCATATTTAAGTGTATCTTTTTTTTTTTATACTGGAGCATGTGGGGTTTTTTTTGTTGTGGGTTTGTTGTTGTTTCCTGTTGGTTGTTTTGGTTTTGTTTTGGGGTTTTTTTTTGGGGGGTGTTGGTTTTTTTTACACACTGTGACCATGGATATAGATTGAAACCCTCCTTGATTTTTTCTCTTCTAATCATTGTATTATAGCACAAACAGTTCTGTGAATGAACCAGAGGACATATAAAAGCTTTGTTTTTTAAAAATAGCATTATTTTAAAAGAATAATTTACACAATTCTCACTGCCTGCATCTCCTCCTGTGCTGATGTATCTTGGTCACCCATGTCACTAACCAAAGTCTATTTAAAAAAAATGTGACACACAAAAGACAGTAGCAAGTGACAACAGAAGAAAGGGCTAAATCTGTCTATCATCCAGGTATACCATATTTTAAAATTGTTCATGAAAAATGTTTCCTGTTTTGTACTTCAGAATGTGACATAGATGTATTACAGATGGAAGGAACATTTATTATCCTGTATCTACTGAGATCCACTGTGGATACCCTGCATCCCATGCTTGAACTGTTGAACGTTACTTGTGATAAAGCAGCTTATCTTGTTGTTTATGTCACATGAGGGTAGGAGCTAGTATTTATAATACTGGGGGGGGGGGAGGTGGGTTTATTCTGGTTTTGATAAACTAGTGAAAAAAACACGAAGTATGAATGTGGGGAATCATATGATTCTATGATTATATGTGTTCCATTGCCATTTAAGTCCTTTTGTTTTGTTTTGTTTTGTTTTTTTGTTTTTTGTTTGGTTCAATGTATTTTGATACTGAATGCAGCAAATGTACTGAATAAGAAATGCTCAAATGAATCTTTAAACAATCTCTTCCTGTCCTCAGTCTTTTGAAGCCTTAAAATTTAGCAGTTTATTTATGGGCTTGTATATAGTAGCTTTTGCAATTTTTTTTTTCAGGACAGCATAATTTTGTCAATGGTATGAAAACTTAATTGAATGAGATGTGAGTTTTAAAAAAGGTAATGTAGCAAGAATGACTTTGCCAATAAGCAGTAACATAATTTCATTCTGTTGTGGTGGTTTTTTTTCCTGAAATAAATAAGAAATCTTAATTTCCTAAAAGAACTTTGTTCAAATTATTCATTTGACATGGCTTATAAAAAACAGCATATCAGTTCTGGATCCCTCTGAGTACTGTTGTGAGTAAACAAGCAAAGCTCTACTTACATGAGAAGTCCAACCAAATGTGCCAGGTGCACCAAGGTAACATGCAGACAATGATTTTGTATTAAAATATACAGAGGAATATATAGAACATGCTGAGGAAAGTCATCCCCTCCCCTTTAAGAAAGGAACCTATTTTATGAAGCAGCTGCTGCAGATTATTTCTTCTAACTTCTGGCAACCTGGTCAATGTCATTTCCAACGTCAGTGAAAAAAATGACATTTATGGGTATGATAAACAGATCCTGTAGCAGACATAGAGAGGAAACTTCTCATTTTACTAGATCTCTGAATATAGCAGCGTGTGTGTGTATCTACCTATCGACACACACGTATATATTGTTATACACACACACACACACACCCTTTTACATATATATGTGTGTGTGTGTGTGTGTAAATATATAGACAAATGCTATTTATATACATCTTTCAGAACTCTCTTCCTATCACTACACCAGCATAATCTCTGCTATTTTCTCTGACTGGGGACAGAGATTCTGCTAGAATACAGGTGCATATGCAACAAGGAACTTTCCATGGCAGTTTGCACTCTCCTGCAGCCAAGTAACCATAGCAACTATCAACAGTCACCAACTATCCGTGTTTTGGATGCCTGGGAGTGTAGGCATGGGGCAATGTGGATTGTACCCAAAAGGACAATGCTAGTAAGTCCAAAAATGTAACATCTCAAAGAACAAACAGCTCCAAAATTTTACCATCACAGGAGTGCAATTCTGTAGATGACATGGGTTCAAGGTTAAAGCTAATGCTTTTATGATTAATAGGCTGCCAACTGCCTCCTTGGCATAGCTGTATAGGTGTGGTAGGGTAATGATGGGAAAATAGGAGGGAAATGATGTGATGAAGAAGAACTAGAGCAATTATATGCTGAAAAATTAAAGACTGGAACTTATCTAAGAAAGGCGTTTTGCCATCTTTCAATGCCCATTAAAAAGAAACCTTCCTCCCTTTGTATCCCTGCAAATCATGTAGCAAGGGATACATAAAAGAATATTCTCTTGCTATTTTATGAAATGTAGAGTGTATTTTTAACATTTATCATGGATATCAGAATAGCAAGTTAGATAATTTTGGCACCGGTTTACATCATGTTTACCTTTCAAAATATTTTCATTATATCTATATTATGATTGGACAACTCAGTGTAGTATGTCATGGATAGTTATTGCTATACTTGCCCTTGTTCACACTATTTTCTTTCTCAATAGTCCCATATGGTCTTGGAATTTGGAGACCCTATTTCATCTTGTCAAGGGTGATTACAATACTCAATGTACCACTGACAGCATATTCATCAGGTGCTGACACATGACAGAAATATTGAGTCATAACTGTGGCTTTTAGGCGTTGTTCACTGCATCTTTACCAAGCAGCTTCCTTGAACAGTTACTAATTTGCCAAGGATAAGTCCCAACAGAGCACTTTCAGGCTATCTATTCACCTATACGAAAGGCAATAGACGTTTTTCCTCTCCTCGTGTTATTTTCTGTGGTTACTGTATAGTAACATTGTAAGTACAGATCTGCTTCCAAACATGGAATAAGGCATCAAACAGTTCAAGCAAAAATAAAAATAAAAATAATAATAAAAAATTGAAGCACAATGAGCATCTCTGCCACTGCAAAAGCCTTGAGTTTTAAGTTGTGCTGACAATATTCTGGAGGAAAATGCAGTGCAAAGCAAAATTTTTGCCCTCCCAAAGAATCTCAAGCTAAGCAGCAAAGATCGAACGTTCCTGGTAACATCTGGGCCTTATATACTTATATACTACTTATATACTATAATTTTGACAACTTCATATTCATATTCAATTCATATTCTGATGCCTATAGCATGTTTCCTACATTTACCAATTGGTAAGCTGAATATTGTGCTTTTAGATTGTATACTGTGCATTAAAATCTCAGATGTGTAGTCAGCAGAATACACTGCAAGTTTACACATCAATCCCATCATGTACGGATATTTTTCAGTCTTATGTTCTTATATGCCTACAAAGCTGGTCACTATTGCTTACTGATAACAGCAAGG